ATGTATAATATCTTATATTTATAATATATGCCGGTATATATATATATATATATATATATCAAAGTCAATTTACTGTGTGTATACGCATTGATCGTACGCCAGAATTATACACCTACGCATGCAATTACATGAGATTGATATCTCAATGCAGTCTTCTCTCAAAACATGTCAGATTATTGTACTAAAATATTGAATTAAACAATATTAAGATGAGTAAAAGATATAAATATAAATTAATAAAGTCCTAGTATTCTCTCTCATAATTCAAAGAGAGAATTAGTTATATAAAAATATATAATATTAAACAATCATGAAAAAAAACATTCATTACATTTTCATTGCAGAAAAATCAGTTGCAAATTGGTTAAATAATCTATTTTTAAAATTCAATATGGCTGTGAGATAAATCGTTCTGTACATATTAAACAAAAAAGTAAGGAGCGATAGTTTTCCGCAATTTCAGTACCGAAATATAGAATCTAAATATTTCACAAAATCTCCGGCGTAAAAAAACATTCGCTGATTCCGTGAACACAAAGCAATTTTTGCTTTATATTCTCCAATCTTCGTCTTACTTTAAGGATCAATTTCGCGATCGCAATCGACGTAAGAAACGCGTAATTGAAGCTCCGACAAAGGATAAATGGATTATCGGTGGAAAGCTTCGCAGTTTTATTAACCCAATTCCATAACTCTGGGTCCGAGCCCAAGCGAGCGACCTTTACCTCGTCTACGCGGCGCGTGAACAAGAGCGAAAGGAGAGGGATTCATCCCGAGGAGTCCACACCTGCCATCGGACACCAGCGCCGACCAAGCTGACTGTCCAGTCGCCCACACGAATTGCTACCGCATTATTTCGAGTGCTTTGGCCTTGGGTAGCGGCCAGAGAAAACTTTTGCGGAGATATCGCCTCAAAGATACGCGGCCTCAGCGAGATTCTTCTTCGCGATAAGTGCGATAAGTACCTATGTACCGAGCACTTTGATCAAGGAATGCATTATCGTTCGTTGCCGTAGTCGATGTTCTCTATTTCCATACCTGAACATTTAGATACGAGTACTCTTGGGAAGATGTGTATTCTGGTATAACGTTAAAAACTGATAAAATATTGTTTTTTTTTCCTAACTTACGTCGAGATTTACGAGGGGTTTGCTCACATTTCCTTTCGCATATAAATCTTCGCACGTTGTTGCGAAAAGCATGGTTTTTGACGAGAACACACGTGTGGAATTTTAACGTGGAGCTTAACATCACGAGGGTATGATTACTCGGGGTAGTCGGGCTGTGACGAAAAAATCTGACGAAAGGAAGAGAGGAAGCACCGATAGAAAAAAAGAAATATGACAGATGGACATGCGTGACAATCAACGGCTCGAGATCGCAGTGGGGATAATTGGTTTTTTACAGAGAAAAAAGGGAAGGAGAGAGAGAGAGAGAGAGAGAGAGAGAGAGAGGGAACGTTTCTTTGGCAAGCGAGCGTGGAGAAGCACTTCCTGCTCTCGGTTCAAAAACGAGCTTTAAGCTCCGGCCGACTTAGAACTCACCGAGCTCTCGCCACGAGTCATAATAATAACAACTCCCGCAAAGATTCCGCTCCCGAGCTGAATCTTAAATTTAAACAGAATGGCGACGGGCACATTGCGGTGAAGCGTAAAATGTTTGTCACTTCTGTACCTCGGCGGACATGTACTGTCCCCTATGTTCTGTTTGCTCGATTTTACAGGATCCGTGAATAACTTTGTCGTCCGTCGAAAATGGTGTTTTATATGCCGAGTGTACCGCAACCGCCAATCTTAATTTTAACGATAGATTGTTAAAATTGTTTGTCGATTTGGAATCGATCTTTCAACGAGTCTCGTAATTTAAGGATAAAAAAGATATCGTGCTACAAAGTTGCCGTTCAAAGTACTTCATCTTCTATTATTATGTGAAAAACATTTCTTACATACATATTTTTGCATTACGTACATATATTTTAAAGCTGTTCTTTTCTTAAACTTATTAAGGACAATATATTTCTATATTTAAGAATATACATCCCCCTATTGTCCTAGATTTTTTCTTAAAGATTTTTACAGACCATCTAAGAGCTTTCCTGAAGCTTCCGATGCAGTATCCAAGCAAAAATCCCGCTAGAAACGACTATACTGCCCCTATAGTTAAAAAGAGAGATCAATCGATTATAAAATACAAACATATATGTAACATGTTTGTGTACAAATAACAATAAGAAAATTAATAAGTAATAATTAAAAAAATTGTGAACGATGATTCTGTTGGATTATTTGACTTAATGCAAATATTTTGAGATTAAAACAACAATATTATTATAATTTATTTTTCAAACGATAAGCTTTCATAAAATTAAATCCCAGTTTTAGCAAGGTTTAATTTCGATAGATAATTACACCTTCTCATTCATCATGGAATTTGGACAAGCGTTGCATTCAAGGGAAACATCGCGATCACAAAGAATTAAAATAGAATATTCTAAAAACAACTGTGGTAAAAAAAATCAAGAAAATCTTTAATGTTCGAGTATCCAATGTTATACGATGCGGGACACGATAATCGCGATGATCTAAATATAACATCTTCACGCAAATTGCACTCGGAACGCGTAATGATGTGCGAGCGCGGATTGATATATCGATTGTAAGAACTGAGATAGAGCCGGGAAATCGCAGCCGTAAACGTCGACGGCGTCTCGCTTCGAGTCTTTCACCCGAGCGTTAGGTAACGCGACGATCGACGACCACCAGAATGTCGTCATAATGCCTTCGCAACAATTGGCAACGCGAATCACACGGCTTCTTCTTGCATCTACGGCAATGTCGACGCTAATTAGGGGACTTCGGGAACCACAGCTGCGGTCCGTCGAGAATCATTAATTTGTTTGACGTAACGCGTTGCCACTACTAATAGGGATTGGATCGGTCTCAACGCATCGACTACCGATTAAAATCCCGATTATGACATCGCGACGTATTTCGAAACCCACGTGGCGCGTGGAAACGTGATGTCTAAAAAATTGTCGCGGTTGTTGGATTTTTCGATAGTTCTCGGACATTTTGTATAATATAATTAGTGAATGCGAGCCGTAAGATAATTGAATTTTTGTTTCACGTTTAATCGCCGCAGTTTTCACAAATAATGAGATAAATCTATAATTATTTTAAATGACTCAAGAGCAAGCAAAAATTTTTTTCATACGTTTCATTTCGAAAAACGATTTATTATTGAAATTCATATTAAGTTATTATGTTATGTTTGGTGTGGTATTATTATATTTTGCAGCATACTTTGAGCATATTGATTTTTATACATACCATAGGACGAGTTGGGTCGAGGGTGAGTGCCGTATCGGATTATAAGGGACAACGTATAGATCCTTGTTTTGTTTGAAGTGTTGCAATATATCTCGTGCGCTGTAAAACGATCGAGGAAATTGTTTTTGATCATTGCGTCGCAGATGAGGACGTATTTAATGCGACGGTTTCGATCGACCTGCTTGACGAGGTAAACGTAATTACGTGTTAAGCCAATTTCGCGTGACAAAAGTTGCACACGTGTGGCACACAGCAGGTATAATAATAGATCGTTAATAATAATGTACACACGGTGGTGTAGACAGCGGCGATCTTTTAATAAGTGCTGTAAATATATCCGCAAAAGTTCGTTGGTAAAAGCGACATAAAGATGGGAACGATGCCAATGACGAAGAAAATCCTACGCGCACAACATGACAGCGTCGAGTCAATTATTTGTACGATGTACATGAATATTCGGAACAACTTTTATCATGAAAAAACGTATGTAATTTCGTGAGTTAATTTAGTTTCTAATTTTAATATAAAGGAAACGATATGTAGATAAATCCTCGAATCGCGTACGTTCTCTTATTATAAGTTAATTCTCTTATTATAAGTCGTTTTACGGACGATAAAGAGAAAAAAATTCGTTGCTTTCGCGAAATTGACGATAGAAGAGATGCGAGTTTGTTCGGTGACGATAGATAGATTAGATCATAAAATATTATCCGACTTCGTCAAATGAAAACATAAAAAACGAAAGTGTGCGTTGCCGCGAACACCTGCAACGTTTAAATGGCCGCGAGGCACTTAACGCGCTTACTGTCTCAACACGCGTTCTTTGAAAAACAAGCGAAATTGTAATGGATTCACTGAATTGGCAATATTCGACGGTTTATGTTTCCAGACTATCGGAATTAGACAAATGCAGTCGATTGAAATCGATCGTATAACCACTCCGAAGAAATAAACTCCTAAATCGAACATGAGTTGCGATTCGTCGGTGAGTGTGAAGTATTAATGTAACATCGTGCCACTAATTTCATAATGTTTGAGTAATAGATATCAAATTCTATTTTCGATTTATATTCCCATATCGTTTTTCATATTTTTAATCAATTAAAAAATTATATGATTATTCTTTTCAATATCATTATTATCGAAAGATTATAGTATCTCATCAGTCTCATTTTGAATTATAAATAATATTAAGAGAGAAGTGACATTATGTGAATTTCCTATTCAGTCACATTTTTAAAAAACATACGAATTTGGATGTTTTGACAGTATATAACTGTTTTGTATAAAAATGAAAATACACTAAATCACTTTACGCAATGCATTGCTGAACGGCTGCCCTTGGAAAGTATCCAAAATAGTTCCGCCATCGAAGTAGCTTTATACTATTACAAATCATCTTTTTCCTCCCTCCAGATCAACTGTTTGTTTAATTATATTTAATTATATTTAATTATATTTGTGATATATAGAAAATGAAGCACTATAGAGAATTTCTTCTAGCGTGAAATTTTCTTTTGCAAGCTGCATTAATATAATATTATGGTATTTCATGATATCTCGAAATTGGACGCATTTGGCAACTATCACTTTCTCAATATATATGAAGCCATTCTATTTTTCTCATACAAGATTTGTATGTGATGCTTGACAATTTATTTATATACATACGTAATATTGAGAATATTGACACAATCAAATAAGAGAGAGAAACGAAAAATGTTTGATAAAACAGTATGGATCACTAACCTTCCGTGATTTGCTACTGCAACTAACACACGCTTCGATGTGCATTGCTTCACGTCAACCGCACCGAAAATTGACATTTTTTCAGCTATCTGCGCAAATATTTCATAACAATGCAGACTGATTACAAATTATTCATCTCTTATATTCGTATATTGCATACTGTAATATACGAGAATGCTTAGAATCCCACAATCATATAATATTAAGATATTATATGTAATAATTAAATGCAATACCTGCATGGCGGTTATCGGCTTCGACACTAACGTTTTCACATAAAGCCATTTAGGTCGAGTCGATACAGGTTCAGGTCCATCAAGTCTCTGGGAAATTTATAATGTGTCGTTTTCTTTTTGTAAAAGAGTATAATATCCATTCAGCTGTATATATTCTCTTCTTGCAAAGTATATTTCATTCAATTATAATGTTTTGCATTTTTCTTACCAAATGTGATGTACTGCCACGGATGATATTTATACAATTTGCCAAACTTTTTACATTGTTCATTAATTCTGTATGTGTAAAGTGCTTCAATGTTAAACCTCTGAAATCATAAGACAGATTTATAATATTACTAATTATAGCTATATGCTTTAATATATATAATGTGTATATATATTAGGAATAAAAATAAATATAATTATCGGCTTTTAATTTATATATAATATATAACTTACGATCCATGACGTTTTGTAGCAAATACATGGACTATTCTAATAAATACATAACCAGCAAAATAAGAATCCCATCCCGCAGTGTGATATTTCATCGAAGGTATAATAACTAAAAAATGTAAAAGTTTTATGAGATGTAGAGTAACCATAAGATTAAAATAAATATGCATAAAATGAATATCTACCATCTGATTTATCTGAATTTGTTTTACTAAGGAGATTAATATTAGGCGATCCAAGTGCTACATATTTTCCTTGCTTCTCTGTGAAATATTGGACTAAACCACTTAGAGAATTAAATGTCCATTTTTCTGTAAAGATAATAAGATTATCTTTAATATACTTCAAATTATGTACAAATTGTGTATGTAAATAATTGTTTGTAATCAATAATAATTTTTTAAATTACGTTCTGTTGAAAGAAGTTCTCTCAATTGAAAGCTTAAAAATTTTGTGTCATAAATTGTAGGAAATAGTTGATGTATGTTATCCTTGAAATCAGTGTATTTTTCTGCAAAAAATGTATTATTCATAAATTATCATAATTTAATTTTCATCCATTGTCGCATTATATATATGAAAATAGATTATTTTTTCATATTATACATACGTGGTAACGGCTTGTAAAACTGTTGATGTATAAACATTAAATCTAACAAAGCATTATGTGCTATTATAGGTTTTTTCAAAGTAACCAAAAGCTTAAACACCTTTGAAAAACCTACATATGATTCAAGCAATACGTTTTCCAATATAGAACCTTCTTCTTGTTCCAAAACTTCTCTGGAATCCGGTGGAATTTTCATAACCGTCACCTAAAAAAGTTAGAAGATTTAAGACTTTGAAAAATAATTGAGCTCTTTTATGTTTCTTGTAAAAAACAAAATTATTAATATACCATATTATTCCCTGAGAAGGTCCAAACATTTCGGAAACGGTTTCTTAATTCCTTATGCATAAGATACTGTAAAATTGGAGTAGACGTGTCAATTTTAAATGAGCTTGTTTCATCACTTGCTCTATTCAACCATTTGGAAACTTGATGGATATAATCTTTGAGAATGTCTTCTTCTTTGTAGGAGATAGATCTTTCCACATTGCGAAATAACATATTATCTTGTAATTGTTGCTGCAAGATTGCTTGGTCAGCCTCATTGAGATATGAAATGCCCTTGTAAGCAAGCTGAAAATTTTCAACACACATATTAAATTCATTGTTACTTTTTAATAACAAAATAAAATATCAAATGTAATTTCAATTTAAACTATGAGCTCGTCAACAGTAAGCTACATATAGTAGCTTTTCATTTTCAAAATCTAAAGTAAACTATAAAGAATGCGATATACCTTGTTGAAATCAAATTCGTATGCAGTCAGAAACTCTAATGCAGCGATTTGCCAGACAAGTTGTCTATTCTTTGATGGAATAGATCTAGGCAGCAGAAAGAAATTAAAGGCCTCTGCTGTGTACTGATTTTCATTCTGAATTCGTTGGAACGCAGTGATACCAAATTGGATTATTATGTACGGTTGAATATTGCACCTCTGCTTCTCATAGCGCTCGTTTATAGAATCAAATAAACTAAAATGAGATAAGTATGAGAAATGACATTAAAACTCCCTGAAATATTACTTGAGTGTACATTTAAGAAGGTATAAACTAACCTATTTTTAATATCGTCAACATTTAAACCTGAAAATTCCGTATCAATTGCTATGAAATTCGCATTTTTCAATGCACGCTCCAAGTTTGGATATATTGTGTTGAAATTTTCACTCGTGACCTCAATCATAATAATATTCTTTCATACACGTACAAAACAATGCGAGATAACCTGAAATGAGATCATGTGCTGTGTTCTTTATAACGATACCGCCATTCACATTCACATACATACATACTATTCATAACCACGTTTGTTATTTGTTGTGTAAATGAGAGATTTTTCAATACTGCCAGGGTATTAAGATTTTATATTGAAATACACAGTTTCTCGTGTGATATACAATAAACTATAATGATACCTCAATCATACATAAAATTGTAGTATAAATAAAATATGAATTTAAAATAAAATTCAAATCTTTATGTGTGATTATTTATATATATAACTTATATATTAATAATTTATATATATATATATATATAACTTTTTATACTATATATATTGTTAATACACCACTCATTATTAAGAAAGTAATAATGGTAAAAAAGCTAATCATTTTTTTATTTTATAAACTTTTAAAAATTTTATTATTAACATATTTTTAGAAATATAAGAAATCTGTAATTATATGTATATATGTCGCTTTTATGGCATTTGATATAGATTATATCAGACTATTTTTCTTTTAATAATGAGTATTAAAATTTGATAATATATATGGATCGAAGAAAGTGAAAATTCAGAATAAAAATTTGGTGTGTCTTTTATTTGTATTTAAAACTGATATGTTTTCTCTCTCTCAAAAATTCAATACTAGATACTTAATATTCGAAAGACAAATTTTAATATTTACAATAAAAAAGAATAAAATTAATATTATATCGTTCATGACGTAATGTTTGAATCTGTTTAAATATTGCGATCAGTAATACGATAATTAAATGATAAAAATGATATGGAATAGGATATCCTTAGTAAATAAATAATTTAATAATCGTAGACACAACTAGTTCTGGAATAACTTGATCGATATTTCCAGTTCATATTTCATGAGTAAATTGGCACTCGTTATATATTTCCGTTTCTACTTTGTGCTTTCTATGCCAATATCATTGCACAATTAATTCCCATTAAGTAACAATTAATAATTATTAGCTTAATTAATATGGCTTTAAATATTCTCTTTAATCATAAGAATGAATACAGGCAAAAAAAAAACTTGTTATTTGAATCAGCGTTATTAAATTATCTTATTATCGATCACAATATATTTCAATAACTTTAAATATTATGCATAATGCAAGAATGAAAGTAATAGAAAATACAAAAAAGCTAGGAAAATATAATTACATTATAAAATACGATTGCTTCAACTTTCACATATGAAAAAGATAATTTACTCGTGAAAAAGATAATTTATAAATCGGAGACCAATTGTGGATGTATAATTAGTGAATTTTAGCGTAACTAGTGAATTATTTCGCGCTTTTCTCTTGTATGAGAAATACCGTTGGAGAGAACTCGAAGTGAAAAGAGTATCATTACAAGGGTCACCATCTCTCCTAAGATTGGCAGGTATCGGGATGATTCCGGGGAGACACCCATCCACCCACGTGTATATAATCATGATGGACATGCCTCCATCATTAGAGATTTTGCACACGGCATGACACAGTACTATCGCGTTATAATGCTTCACTTGCAAGATCTTTCTTTTAATCGGGAATCGACTCTCTCTCCTTGGCAATGAACTTGCTTGAGCGGTGCTAGTGTGTCTACAGCCACGACACCGACCAGTCCGACACTCGCTTGCTTCTCCACGCTCTCGCGCCTATCTCAACACTGATTATCTCGAGCACCATGCTCTTCAGATTCGGGATCTTTATCGGGCTCGGTTCCGTGGTCGCAACCATTATCTACTTCACGCCCATACCAGGTGAGTCGTAAATAATTATGTCATAGTAGTAAAAATGAAATAGATGCGCTCGTTCGTATAACGGAAGGTAAAACATCTATTTCGATCGTGCAAACGATTTTCCACGGAACGTTTCGTTTCATATTAAAATCTTGGATCAGTTTATGCAATTACGATTGGTATAATCAACTTTTGACGTTAGTAAATTAAGAAAAAAATGCCAGATAAAATAATTTCAAAAACTGTATATATAGTGAATGTTGTAATGAACTGTTTATACATATAATGAAATTAATTGATATATATATATATATATAATGAAAAAAGGGAATATATATATATATATATATCATTGATTAAAATAGTAAACTGTGTCTTATATTTAAAATTATAATCATTATTTTTATTTTATTTTATTTTTTTTTACTTCAAGATTCGTCAAGATCTTGCGCACTTATGATTTATATATATTCGCTTATAGAAAAATTATGTCTTTTTTCTTCATATTTATTACTTATTCTAATTGTTTGCTTACAACTTTTTTTATAGAAGCGAATACTTTGATTTCAAGTATAAAATAATATAATAAAAAATATAATAATCGGAGAAAATTTATAGAAACTTGCTCTTCTTATCGACTCACATCAAGATTGTATGTGTGTATGTAACCAGGTATGGAAGACTAGAATGGCAGATGAACGACTAATACTCTAATCGTGAATTGCTAGGGGCTTTATAATAAATTGACTTAAATTTAAAATTCATTCTATAATATCCACGAAGATTGTTTGAAATAGCAAATTGAACCTCTATATGAAAGGTGAATGTCCTCAAATCAAAATTTACAGTTATGTACAGTATGTTTCTTTTAATAAAAGCCAATCTCATTGCCAACGATGCTGACCGCAATTATTATTTGTCAGTTGTAATATACGCGAGATATTGTCTTGGAACACGTTATGCTAAATTAACTGTTATGCTTTCAAGCATCATTATTAATGGTTGGTATCAGCTGGTGGAAAACAAATAGAGAAGAAGAACAAAAGCTTTTTTCGAATTTTCACCATGTAATATAAAATTTTTTAAAATATTTTTATTTTGATCATCATAAAAATAAAAATATGACGGAGATAATACACAATCGATCAACCAAATTAATTATATCTTTCCATTATTGTAAATGTACAGTGATTCTTCTTTTTGTGTAAATTTGCAGAAATTAAAAAAATGTTATTTTACTTATAAATAATTGTTTATATAACCCTTATTTTGTGTCATAAAAAGAATTTTGGTATTATATGTTTTTATTAAATAAAAAAAGGTTGAACAAAAAATTTTACATATATGTATAAGACTTTACATTTACAATTGCATAGAGAAAAATCGCGCCTTTTGGTGTCACTACTTTCATTGATGTAGCTTATGGAACCTTATTAAAAGTCATTTACTTGCGTATAAGTATGACGCTCTTTGTGCTATTAATGATTTCTTAACATTATCTTTTTTCTACTGTGAAATTATCTTTTCTACGATTATCATCCATATATATTTGCACGCATGCTCACAATTAGTTTCAATAACACTTTAAATACCTCACACGTTTTGTACCAAGAGCATAATTATTATTGTACAATAGCATAATTTTGAATTTTTTCTTAATACTATCATTTTATTACTCACACCTAACAGATTAGTTAGTTTTAGTTTTTCTGCATCACGTAAGATTTTTATGTGATTATAATTTCATACAATTATGTATTTATATTAATACATACCTATATAATTTATACATCTTTACACAGACAACACAATAAGAAAAATCTTTATATTATATTGTTATATCATGTTACTTATATGTATATATATATGTGTTCTGTTACATATTTCAAAACGTCATAATTGTATAAAAATAATAGATAAATTTCTATTACTTTTAAATTCAGCGTAAAAATGTACTGGAAATGTTACAAATGTTAGCTGCGACAAAAATTCTGTTTATGATTTATTGTTGCAGTTTTATTGAATAATGTAATGAGTTTACACAAACTACCCATATGAACTTTCTCTCTAATTAATTATAAAAGGGAAGAGAGACGAGACACACACGTCGTATAATAAACATCGTCAAAATATACCGCAATAAAAATCGAAAGTACAACGTGAAAGTGTTTGGTGTTGCGATCACATATACAATTTCGCTTTTCGACGATGCCATTGTTTCCGTTTGAAAAAGGTAATCGAATTTCTTATTAACATTTAAACGTAACACTAGCCGGTCTAAATATAAATGTCTTTTCATTAGCTCTAAATGCCTTTTACACTTTCACTTCTTTTATATTTCAAAAGAATATCTGTCATGTCAGACACAGAGATTTATTTATCTCTTTCTGACTGCCCGTCAGCTTTTTGATAGTAAATCTTAGTAGAATGTTTTATCTGCAGCAATTGCAACTTATGAACTATTAAATATATGCCAACCGGTCGCTAACATCATTTTACTCGCATCTGACTAGAAACGTGAGAATTTTCATGAAATCGCATTTGCAGTAAAGAATTTAGTACTTTCCGGAAAAATGCAAATTTTTGAATAATAATTTTGTTCCCGCAAAGAACGGTATCCTCTTTATGATAATTATAAATTAAAATAAATTAATAATTGTGGATCTTTTTCTAATAATGTCGTGATAGTTGAATAATAAGATAATCACAGCTATCTTGATGCATAAACGCAATTCTATTCTCGCGCGCGAATCTATTTCCGCATGATTCGAATACTTCCTGTAAAAAGGTGATAAATATGTAAGAATGTGATATTAGCAAAACATACATGCGATTCTTATTTATCTGGATTTCCCGAATTCTGAGAAATACGCATGAGAGAGATGCGTTCCGCCGAAGTAAACAAGTGAAAACGTCAATTATTACACGGTAAATGTGCCGTTTTACTCGTATATATATATATATATATATATAGAGTAAGAAGAGGGCCATCTTAACTATCGGAATAAAACAAATTCCGGGATATCAATCAGAAAATTTTTTGATAAATAATACAAAACTATATAAAGCGTATTGCCATTTAATACACATATAAAAATTTAAAAAAATTGATAAAATATTGTCAAAAGTATAAAAACAACATAATTTGTAATGAAGCAGTGTTTTATAATGAAAGCAGCTATGTTTTACACTTGCAATTTGCATCAGCAAAATCAGAGATCGTCTACACCGACGACGAGAAAAAAACAGATGATTCGATTTTCGCTTTAATTAAAAGCATTTGCTTTTATAACCGATCTATACATTTTTTTATCGTATACATATACACACTTATTAATCTCCTTTCTAACGCTCTAAGGTAAGTAGGATTGTCTTGATTACCTGATAACCCATAAAAATCATTGAAACTATTAAATGCAGGATGCGAAATGATATCGAGCAAAACACTTCTAAGCATGAGAGATTTCCGCTCGAGTGCTACTTACAATTATTGCCGATAGAGAAAAACGCTTTGTCAAGTGAAAATAAAACGATACAACTAGTTTGAGTAACATAGAACAGACTGTAGGTAGACTAGAGATACGTCTTTCACTTTCCAAGATAATTGGGTTTTGCTTCCTTCACACACATATAATTGGTTTTTGCTTCATTCACACACATATCTGTATAATTGTTTAACAGATTTATGATTAAGTAATTCCACTTTGTGCGTCACATCGTTCCATAACTTGAATATGATAAAGTAGGTCTTAAATCTGATAATTGCATTATTTTCCCCTGATACACAGCTTTATAACTAGAAGCTAATAAACATAACGGAGTGCTAAGCACTGAGCATAAAATATATTTGAAATCATTATTTATGACAGCGCGGGTGACAACGCGGTTACTTACAAAGTTAGGAAGTTGTTGTTTGCGAAGTTAGGAAGTCGTTACCTACTTAAGGCGTCGCGATATAATGGCAGTCACACTGAATATGGATTAGATAACATAAATGTCGTTATGGATTTAGATAATGCAATTTTGTTATCGAATGTATCGCATGCGTGGCACATAGGAGAAATTTATATTTTTTGCCTTTTAATCTTTAGTTATATTGTCACACAATTATATTATATAACACTAATCATTGTGGTAAAGATTTATTTATACTTTGCAGGAGAACAAATTATATATTCCTTATAATTTGATATGTTAATTTACACTCGCGAGGAAAAAATATAGACAGATTAAACACGTTGAAACATAATAATCCATATTGTAGTAAACGTTATTTTTTTTCATTTATCACTACCTACGACATGCTTATAGAATGTAAAAGAAAAGTTCAAACCGATGTTATTCCAACAGCAATCGTTTCCTCCCATTATCTTGTATTGCAACTTGTTTTCATAGAAATGCAAAGTCATGTCGTTTCACGAATGTGCTCGTCTTGTGTTTAATTTCACTAAATTGTTTTGTATATATGTATTTCTTATTTAAATTTTTTACACTCACTTTCTAGTAAATCTAATAATTTTAATTTAATTGTGTTATAAATCAGTATAGGCGACAAATAAATCTTTAAATTCTTGGCAGACACACAAAGAAATTTAGAAATTAAATTGAATATCTCAAATAATTTAGGAAGGATAAGGAAGGATTATTATAAGAAAGTTATTTAATTTTGCGTTTAACTCTTACTGTTTTTTGTTGCAAATGGAAATTTTTAATATTTATTAAATATCTTAAAATGACATGTAAAAAAAAAGAAAGACATTATTAATATAGCTACTACATGTTTCATATGCATTATGTGTATGAATTGAATAGTTTATTTCTATAGATATAATTTTTGCCTATTTATAAGTAATGCGAATATCACATGACGAGATATATTTCGCTGCAACATTCAAATAATTGAACGCGTCGAGATCGTACCAGTTTCTGCATATGCATCGACTAAATACATTAAAAGTCTTATTATCCTTCTCTCTGTAGAAAGTTCCGTTCCATATGCAGCGATGTTGCAATCTAACAAATGAGAATGACCGATAAACGTGAGCTTAAGCATATTCTCGATCTCGACAAGCAAAACGTCACTTGCTTTCCATAGAGAAGTGACCGCAACACGATGATTATCGTTTCTATCCGCCCATGTGAGTAAGAGTTGATCCGGTGGGCATCAGCGAAAGCGAAATCTCTATATTGGCTGGACCGAGGGGATCGAGGAGAAGGAAAAAGGTCGAGAGATGAAAGTGTTCACGCAGCCGGCTTTTGAGAGAGATGAAACAGGTCCCCAGACGTATTGCGAATGATGGTAGGTAGGGGGTCTTCAGGACGGGCCCACCGGCGAACTTTCACTCGCTGTTATGCTGTTTCTGACACATATTTCAAATTCGCGTGCGCGAAACTCGAGGCGTTGTTGCGATTGCGGGGATAGGCCAAAAAAAGAAAAAACGAAAGAAAAAACTAGCGGTCGCATATATATGACTTTGTACTTTGGGGACGCGGACCCCTGGGAGAGGGAAGGTACGCGTCATAGTTTGTACGACTGAGTAGCAACAAAATTGGACTTTTTCGTCAGTTGTCTACTTGGTGCGCGACGGTATCTGCGACGACGTCGCGATCGTTAGTTTACGTGCCGACGACTGTCAGTGGTGCGGTGATTTATGAGATTTGATTAATTTTGTCTCGATCATAATCATCCATACCTGCCTTTAGATCGTCATGCCTCTGTCGTCCATTAGCCCTTATTCGATTTTTCGTCAGCTATTGATAAATGGACTTCTGGTTGTTGAGCACTCTCTGATACTTTCCACTCGAGTACATTTTGGTCGTAGGGTTAAACTACCATATCGGGTAGTTACACAAAGCCAATCGGGAGTCAATAAGCATAGTTATTTTCAGATGAGGCAGCCGATTAATCATTTTCGCGAATAGGAAAGAATCTTTGAAAGAAATAACATCGCGAATACGAATTGCCAGTAAAAGTCAAGTAGCATTATTAGCGCTTCTTTTTATACTCGCAGAAGTTTTCAATGAGGAATCTCTGCTGTGTGTGAATGTATATAATGATAGCAGTTATTAAAATATTTATAAGTACATACAAAAATTAAAGTTTCAAAGAGAAAATTTATTAATTAAAGGTTAATTTCAATTATTTCTCATGTTTGGAATAAGTCTATTTAATAACGTACTGTGTAAAATAAAAGATGTTGCATTGTTAAAAGTTTATTTAAAAGTTATCGCTTCAATAATTTCGAACCGGATGTAATTAATTTATCTTTCCTTCGTAATAATATAACAGTGATCTTTCGTAACAATGTAAACAAGCAATTTATATGTTGAAATGGAAAGCTCTGACAGCTATCAAAAATTTATTTCTGTCCAATAAAATCTTCTTCAATCATCGATACGACAACGCAACCGAATAAAACCTCAGACTGATTCAGAGCTCAAGGATAGAAAATTATACAGCCAAATGTAATGGAGGCCATGCCATAATTTAGATGACCTCAAACGTTTATGTAACAAACGCTCGTAAAGTAATCGTAAATGTGTTTATTACAACTTTTATCTCTCTTGCGTCTCGATTGTTTTTTTTTTTTTTTTAATCAAAGATCCGATTCTCTTCTCTCGCTTCGGATGAGTCTCGCGAATAAACGAGCTTCGATCATTTTTTGCTAGTAACAGTTTCGATCTTCGGCAATAAGGAAGAGAGAAGGAACGTCGTAGCGGCGAGAGAGAGCGGGAGAGAAACGCTATTCTAGCAACGAATTTCGGGCTCGATATTCTCATCAGTCGTCGACGGGGAGCGCGACTGTGTCCGCAATTTTGTTATACCGGCTCTACGTAAATGTCCGCAGTGGTGCAGTGACATAAAGATACCTATATTTGTCTCTTCGTACACATTTCTTTTTACTTTTGTGCATGATCGTTATTGAGAGGGAATATCTTTCCTTCTCATTGTCTATATATCCTCGTTTATCTATATTATTTATATCTGTCACGTTTAAGAATCATATTGCTTTTGTTAAAAGATACTTGTCCAACTTGTAGTGATTAACTCTTGGGATATCAATATAAATTATCAATTGATGCAAACATAACTTTAATATATATGTGTGAAAATTATAATACGTGTAGAAATAAAAATAAGACGAAATGTAGCATGTGTGATTGCAACATGTTTGTATATAGTTGATCTAAATCAAAGATATATAAAATTAATTTCAGTTTGAAAAATCTCCAAGATATTATAAACTTGTCATATTGATAATTGTAATGTAAACTTTATTTAAAAAATCATGCGCATACCGCAATATTGAATTAAATTGCAAGGAATTGAGTTGATTAATTAATTTATATTAGAATTGCTTCCATAAAAAATTTTGATAACATCTTATAATTAAAAAAAGATGCGTTCTATTTGTATTTGTACAATCTGTTTCTAGGCTATAAAAAAATCTCTGTGGTGAAATGACTACAATGTGAATAGTAATTTACTTTCAATTTTAATTATAACTTTCAGAGATGCATGATTCCGGTGATATGTATCACACATGTAACTGAATTGGTTTATAAACGCGTTACGTGAAAATTATATAAGTTTCTACGTAATGTATAAAATAACTTCAACGTGATAATGATTCTGCAATAGAGAACGGAAATAACAATTAGACAAACGTTGTGTTTGATCTTACTATTTTGTTGATTTTTGTCTCTCTTTCTCTATACCCATTATTCAAATTCAGAATATAATATATATATTTTCTTTAATGTATATATTTCAATAATTGCTACTTATATGTATACTATACTCATTGATTATATAATTTTGTTATATAATCTTTTAATAAATTACCATTCGTAACTATAATCACACACACACACACGCACACACACACACACACACAAATATATTCAGAATATCCTGACAGTGTGTGTTAATGAGTGATAGACAGCCTCCGTTATTATTATTATGATTAATCATTACTTCAAATTTAATCTTCATTCATCTGTCTCGCAAAAATTGATTGATGAACGTTTTTGGAGACTGATACTAGAAAAAATTTGACTCAGAAGGATAGCTAAACAACAATTCAACTTTCAATCTCGTTTGTATAATACAAACGGCTTCTCTTTTATCTTCACGGTCGGCTTTCTCCGCGTTAACTTCTCCATTTTATTATCCTTGACATCAACACTTCGCTTGAAGCTTGAAAGCAACAAAGAGTCTTAGATCCAATCTCAAAAAAATTTTCTCTTATTTATTGGTAGAAATCTGTGATACATTTCTCTTGTCAATTGAATACTGTATATATATATACATTGTGCTACTTAATAATTGTACGCGCACTAATTTGCGCGTACAATTGATTTAATCGACACAGATTTCTTTTATAAAGATTAATTACTCGCATAAATATTTTATCCAAAATTCATCAATTTTTGAAGCTCACGGGGAATGAATATCGTCACCGCCTGTTATTATTATATAACAACGTTGGTAGGCGATGTATTCTCCAAAGTCCGCTCACCGTCACGTGGCCACTCCGACAACGTATGTTTTACGATGTCTCGTGGTCGTAACTATGATCGTAGCTGCGGCGACATTTTTGCATATTAATAATTACAGGCCTAGTAAGTTGAAATAGTTATTTGGTCAAAATTAAAATCAACACATCGTCGCTTTTATACCAAAACCACGGAAGTACAACCGTTCTGTGCCACACAATTAGCAATGTGTAATATTTACTTAAATATTAATGGTACATAATACTAATGTAACATAATGTACATACTGTCCATAGTGCTTGAATAAATTGAAGAAATTATAAAAATAAAACAAGAATCTGATTTTTCGCAGGAAATTAAATATTTAAATTGCAATAACTCGAAACTACAAAATTGCACATTCGTGGTTTTGACATATGCGCGATGACATGCAATCTTACCGTGCAAAAGTTACGTAAATTTAATGCAACTTTCATAAAGATTCATTTTAAACAATTTATATAATTTGCGATAGGAAATTGCTTATAATTTTATTTATGCATCGCATATCCTATGTAGGTCTTTTGTTTTCCCAATTTTTTTTTTACACATCGTCTAAAGTTTTAAACACAATACATCTTTTAAAGTAAATATATATTAATGACATAAATTATTTTACTTGAATGCCACGAAATTAATTAGGCATTGAATTGTAATCATTTATCCAATCAATTATAGTTAGCTTCAAGATTTATAATGAAGATAAATGTCAGATGATGAAATAATAATGCGCGAAGAGCATTTTCGCGCTTCTTTCTAATCTGCTGCAACATTGATGTGTATGCCATAATATATACGTGCGCGCATCATTAGATTTTCTTTACTAAATAGTACTTTCTATGTGGTTTGTAACTTTCATCTTTGCTGCTTGTCTACTTGCATTTTTTCTTGCTTGATGGACGAGAAGGAAAACTGCTTTCGTCGCGTCAAAATGATTTTTCCCTTTCTCATTCTTTCTGTTCTTTTTCAGAACAAACATTCCTCTCCTGCGATAGACCATGTCATCACTTGGACTGGCCTATGATCTGCCGAGTGAAACTCACGTTAGAAGTCTTCCAATCACTCAGCAAGTAAGTCAATGATCCAATTATGTTTTTTGTCAGTTACATCATTTTGTAAGAATTTATTCCAAGCATAATGAAAGAAGAACTTCATTATAAATACACACATCAGAAAAGGTCAAGTCGCGTGACTCGTCTCATCTGCATGCAGACTTTCAACTCAACTGATTATAACGCTTTTCATCAGATTATCTATGTTTCAATAAATGTCGGATTTCGGGATTCTTGCGCCAAATATTTTTTTCCATTTGTATTTCTTTAATAGATATTTCATACAATATATTTTTTCAACAATTTTTCAAAAATCTTTACCTGATGAAATCAAATATTTAATTTATGAATGTTTCGCTAATATCAGATTTTAATCAGTTTCATTTAATCTAGCATATATTATGGAAATAGAAGAAACAACTCTTGAGAGCAAATTAGATACGAAGGTTAATGTAGATTACGTCGAAGTTGTATGTTGCGAACGATGTTGCGCAATGTTCGACTATTACTATTTTATAAAATATCTATTCATAATTGGGTCTCTGCTATAGCAGATCAAGGTTATAAAAGTATTATATTAATTTGATTATATTAACTAAAGTTATATTATTTATTGCTTTTAAGTTTTTATAATAAAATATTAATTTCGATTTTTTGCTAATGTTGCTTGTCCGAGAGAACGCGCTCGCAAAGAGTAGCGAATTCTAAAGGGAAAGTTTCCTCATGTAATAAAGAAGTGCATAAGATCGTAACCTCACGCGAAGGAAGTTGCATTTCTCGTTACGCGCATTTCGCGAAATGACTACATTATAAACACTTCGTTTCCTTTCTTTATGTAGGTAAGTGATAAAAAATACGCAAGATCTCGTGCAACCGCGAGGGAAGTTGCATTTCACGTCACGTACGCGACGTGAAATGATTACTGCATTATGAAAACAGTTCGTTTTTGCGATTGCAACACCGTGTGCAACATCGTTACACTACTGCATTACGTTTAACCATGCAACTATTACGGGCATAACGCTCGGTTTCGGATTCGTCGATGCGACATAACCGTTATGCAATTCTTAACCGGTATAATACGAAAAACTCTCACGATCAACCGCACGCCGTCCTGTCGAAATCAACGTTCAAAACGAGAATCGTGCCGGGTAATAATACTGTGTGTAGTTAAGCGAACCGAAGAAGACCGAATTGGTATCTCGCAGTTATTTGCTAAGCCTAAATAAAGCCGTGCAAAACACTACGAAAAAATCTGCTATTGGATAATACACTATTTGTTCTCTTTTACTTACACATTCTCGAATCATTCATGCGATCTATTTATATATGTAGATATCTTATTTATAGCTGAGAGCTTTTTACTTTCGATAAAAGATACAATAGATACAAGATACGGCAGTTCGATCTGTTTCATAAATATACATTATAGTGTTAGAAATCGCGATTTTACGCAAGTTCCTTACAGATCATGCGGGAATTGTCCATTGAATCAGACTGCCTGCTTAGACAAGCATTGTGTTTCCGCGGATGGACAGAGACGGGGCATCCTTACGGCCAATCGTCAAATGCCAGGACCCAGTATTCAGGTATGACCTCGATATATACCATCGATCAATAGCCCGAGTGCGTTACACTTACTGCTTGAAACTCAACAAAATTCACCGCAAGCGTCGATATTGCCTTTCTACACTTTTTTTTAATTTGAGTTTTCTTATAATGTCATATTGACGCGATTAAAAAAAACTTACAAAATTTGATAATTTATATATATTAACGCATTTGCTTCGGATGACTTTGTAACATGTAAAAAGACGATATATCTTATCTCCCGAAGAGAATGTGTTAATATATATATATAATTTAATAATGTGATTTATATATGTATATGATGATATATGTATGTGATGATCTGAAGTACATAATATAAAGCTATATATATTTTAAAACTATACATTATTAAATTTTTTTTTTTATAATTCTGCTATTGTTATTTGAGATGCAAAACCAAAAAATGAATTTAGAGTTTAATATAACGTCAAATATTTTGAATTTTACACATCAAATAGCAGAATATTTTAAAACTATTAATCGATAATGTACAATTAATGCCTCCTGCTTTATTATTATTGCTATAATTTTACAGAAAGATTGCATTAAAATGATATATCTGAATGTGTGATTTGATCCACGTGGTTTTGCCGATGCAAATATACCTTCATTTGCAATCAGCGCTCTTTAATTGAACTTCTATTTTGTATTAAAATTAACTCGCATGGTAATTGAAACACGTATACAATATACAGTTTTGATAATTAATTGCGTTGCTTGAACACGTGGAAATAATCTCGCACATGTGTCTCGGTTAACTAAATGAACACTTTGAAGTGAAGCGAGTTTCGCTGGGTCTCTAATTGATCTTCCTCGTAAACGCTGCGAAGCTTTAGAAATGTTGATTAAATGTAAATTCTAAATCCAAATTTCATAGAATCAAGTAATACGCGTGCGATTTTTTTCATCAGTTTTATATCAAATTCTAATTTATAAAAAATTTATTTTCTTTTATAAAATTATTATAACATATAATATAATTAATAAAAAATAAAATACAATTAAATATAATAAAATATAATATAATTATTATAAAATTATAAAATAAAATAAATTAAAGTTGGCAAAACTGTATGAAATAAAATTAAATAAAAAAAGGAAACAACCTTAAAAATAATTATAAAATACATTCATATTTCTGAAAGAAAAATTGAAACGCTAACTACAATTGCTTTAGTAGCATGCACGTTTTAACGTCCCGATAAAGATTCCCGAAGATTTACGACGGGTAATGTGTGACTAATTAGCAACTTCCAGACAGGTTTACGCTTTTACAGGTTTGTGAAAACGATATCCTAGTAGTAGACGTCATTAATCGCCTTCCGGGTAAAGCAGTAGCGGTACATTGGCGTGGACAAACGCAAATGGAAATGCCTTACATGGACGGCGTACCGTTGATCACGCAATGTCCAATACCGAGTTATACCACTTTCCAATATAAATTTCGTGCCTCCAGTCCCGGCACACATCTTTGGCATGTACATGCAGGTTGTCACTTATTTCATATATAATAGATTGAAAAAATATTTAGAAATTTTAAATTTACACGAATATTTTTTATCACATTTATTAACTCGTTAAGACTTAAATTTGTTTTTCAAGTTTAAAATTAAAAATTTTGAGATTTAGAACAATGTATTTATCTTTGTTTATAATATATATATTTTATTGATCAGCAGGATATCGACGAGATAGGGACGAACCGGTTGGCCGTGACGACAAATCCTGCCAAGTGCGGCGGACAAGAGAGCCTGTGCGTCATGGATATCCAGAATATGCGCAAAATGCCGCGATCCCTAGCTATGCCCAGAATGGACGTGACGATGTATCTGCCAATTAATTACAAGATGCAAGCAACGGAACTGATAGGTGTGTATCAAGAAAAAAAAATGACGCGACAGATGAGAAGTGAAAATACAATTAATTAAATAGCAATCGCGCGGTGCAACCGTAATTGCAATAAACATTTGTTCACGCGAGCAAGAATAATCGGCCTGATTAAAAATTCTCTACTGTGTGTAAGTTTCGCCACTTTTACATTCACCGTGCAAATGCGTTCCATGTTATTAAAATTTTGCTACCGATTATATTTAGCGCACATAATGCGATGTATCCGGGTCGAGCATGAGCGCTTTCACCGCTATTATTTTTCTCGTAAATCTTTTCGTACGTCTGTTGAGCATCATCGTTAACTTTTTGACGGATTAGAAGTTTATCCCTACTAGGTATCTGAATACTTAACATAAGAGTAAGTAATAACATAAGTAATAAAAAAAATTATTAACATAGTTGAGAGCAAATTAAATTTGAAAAATATAACATTTTTTATTTTCTTAAATTTATACCAATTTGGTCGAAATAAAATTTTTATTTGAAATTGCAGATTATAAGAACATCATATATAGAAAATAAAAAGATTGCAACATATATTGTTTTTTTTTGCGAAATTTTCATTGTGGGAAAATTGGTTCTAAATTTGCTTAAAAATATTTGACTGCTAGTAAAGTACTGATAACGGTTTCAATTTCTCCTAATCATTTGCGTAAAAAGGAAAAATCTCCGGACGCTCACCATCCGATGCAAAGAGCCGAGAAAACGGCGCACCATTAAAATATTATTAAGATATATCGAATAATGTCATTAATTTTCAATCAAGAGGAGGATTACGCGCGCTCGATTAAATTCGGTATCTAATCACGGCGCGGATATTATTTCTTTTTTTGTTCTTTTAGGTAACAGCGGGACGGAAACGCGAGTGTTAAACGTGGACAACTCTACTTTCACGTTTCCGTCATCGCCACTATTAACCCAGGGTGGCGATGTGTCGCCGGATATGATATGCTCCAACCACGACGACGACGACGACGACGCCGATAATGCTCGCAACGAGAATAATGACACAGTGTCGCGACGCCGATGCCGTCCGATCGGTGACGGCGCCAGCAGTGGTGCGAGCAACATGTGCGAGTGCGTACACGTGCGTCGCATACCGCTCGGGGCGACCGTCGAGATTATTCTCCTGGATCAGGGTAATTAATTTCGTTTGAGCGTGATCAAAATACAAACATAATCGTGCAATGTGATACGAGCATCTCGTGTCCCGGTCACGTTTATTCGAGTTTTTTTACATTCTCCTCTCTTGTAATTCCTTTACTTTTCTCTTTTCACCTTCGCTCGAAACCCAGTACTTTATATATAAAATCTGAGAAATATCGGTAAAAAATAGATCTTTTATCTACGCGAGTAATATTCAATGCATTTCGTATGAAGCTTTACATGACAATATAATATTTATCAATATTATATTTTCTTTGCCATATACCAAATTTTCCTATATAGATTAGAAACAATGTTGTGCCAATTTACAAATTTAAAAATATTATAAAAAGATAATATATGTGATGTGTTGAACTTCATTAAACAAATTTTCACATCCACACACGATCAATATTCCAGAGATCATTTTATGATTAAAAATAAATTCCGAGTGCCAAGAAAATATAATTAGTATATTGAACTTTCATTATATATATATATATATATTTCGCATTATATATATATATATCTGTTATATATATTAATGCAAAAGGTTAATCGAATAAAAAAATATAGTTTTTCCGCAAGATTGTACATAGAAGCTCATTATGAATTATTACGTAATTATTAATCAATGGCATGTAATATTTGGGATAATCTTACACAATAAGTGGGATAATACGAATGAGATAAAAGGAAACGTTAGCGCACAATAGAGCGTAATATCGACTAAGACATCTTGATGTCCTTGATCCATATTTCGCATTAGCCGGCATTTACTAAAGCCGTCAATTATTGATTTTGCGTTGTTCCATCTTCATAAATCATTTCCAGCGAGGTGTATATTATTTCTCTTTAAGCACAATATTTGATGCCTTATCGCGACTACTCGCAATATGTCTTTGCGTCAGCTAAAAAAGAATCCTTCGACTTTTCCGATAACAGAGCGAGAAATAATCAGCCTTTATAAAACTTCGCAAACAGGAAAATCCATTGATTTGTTATATTTCTCGTCAAATTATATTTCTGTCGATCTATTTAATGACGACTTTCGAATCTATTAGGTCTACCTTTGTCAGGAATTTTTTTATATCCAATAATTTAATTATTAATTTTGATTCATGAATGCTGTTTTGATTTTATGATAAAAAGATTCTAATTATTCGGGAATTAATAAATCATCGCTTTGCTATAGGCGGTCTGGACGATCTGGTTTACCATTTACACGGCTACAGTTTTTACGTGGTGGGCGCGAAACATTTCGGTCGAAGTATGTCGTTGCAGGAGGTGAAAAAACTCGACGAGAGGAAGCAACTGTTCGTGCGAAATCTCGACTGCGCGCCGACTAAGGATACTATCGTCGTGCCCAAGTTCGGTGCCGTGGCGTTGCGATTTAAAGCCGACAATCCAGGTAAATCTTCGTTCATCAACTAACAGATTATTTAACATATAAGTGTTTTAACTAAATAAATCGTTAATTTATATTTCTTCAAATAAACGGGAGACAAAAATTTTATGAAAATATCGAGATCCATCAAGATATTTTTAGCGATTAAAAATAAGTTTTTTGCGAATTTAATAAAATGTTCAATGGATAGTAAAAAATTGATATTTTTACAAATTATAACGAATAATGACATTTTCCGGTAATTTTGTTGAAAATAATCGACTCGGAATTTGTCAAACACATTCTAGTATCGATGACTAATCTGGTTGAAACATAAAGTAGCGCTTATATAACAGCAATGCTTGCGCATTAAATCGATGAAATTACTAAGATCCCTCACTTTCACATAATTCTGCAGGTTATTGGATGTTGCGCGATGAGCACGCGGCTGATTGGACTCGCGGTTTGGATGTTGTTCTGCAAATCGGAGAATCTAACGACATGATGCCTGCTCCACAAGACTTTCCCAAGTGCGGATCCTTCGTCGGACCCGACTACTTCCTTATATAGACTGTTATAACCGCTCAAGTTGAACATGTATATAATTGTATATAACGATAGAGACGCGCAGACCTATATATGCGTGGACTAAAATTCATGATTTTTTTACGAATAAATATCGAGTTATACATCGACCTATGCATCTAAATTGTTCCCGTCAATTTCGAGAATAAAAACATTTTATTGCATTTTTTTAAATTCCCACATTATAGTATTTAGGCGGAAACTCGATTAAATGCCACTTTTCACATTTAACTTGTAACTTTTCCATATTTTCAACTTTAACTAACTCAATTTAACTTTGTGTTAAATAAATTGTTCCGAGAATCTCCGCTAGTAATGTGCAACTTTATAATTTTCAAGTTTTAATAACCGAGAGCTTCGAGTTATTACGTCGTACTTATAAAGTACCTATGTTTTCGGAACTTAGCACTAGAACTTTAGTACGCACGCGACTTTCAACATACACCCTATATACTACAGTATTTTCGTTCCTGTCATTCACTTTTATCCTTGAACAAACGACGAATGCCGCTTCTGCGGTTTATTTCAACGCACACGTCAGGCGTTTACGTGCATTAGAATGCGATTGAACGTAACCGTCATAACCGCGATTCTCTCCTCCGCGGTGACGGTGAATCCCGAAGGATCAGAAGCTGACTCGTCAGTAATGTCCTGCATGAGTGCGCTGGACTCGCAGTTAGCAACCCTGTTCTCGGTGCCTGAAGAGATCCTATTTCTGCGACACAAGGTATTCCGTGAATACGCTAAAATCGCAGTCGGGCCGGATTTCATCCACACGCTACCGTCCTTCGTAATCGTGGCAGCCGCGCTGCTCGTCCTTTGGAAGAATCCTCCGTCCTCCGCACGGCTGATGGACTTCATAGGCGTGACCCTCATTTATAAAGGTTTTCAGGTACGAGATTCCTAGAAATCCGTTGTAAAACTAGTGTTCTTGCACGCGCACGTTTTTCAAGGTATCAGTCAGCTGGCTCGTGGTTACCACGCTTCTATGGTTATGGCTGATCCTTCAAAGAATACTCTACTGCAGCGTCTGGCGTTATTGGAGTTACGTGAGTGGACTCGTTATTACCCCTCTCATATTTAACAAAGAAATCGTTTTCACAATGTTTGAATTGTTTGCTTTTATATAAAAGAATTTAAACACTCTTCTATATTAAATTAAAAACTAGCTTTCTAAAGTTTTCTACACATTAATCACGTGTATAAATATATAAAAACTAAAACGTGATTTAATAAAAGATTTAAATAAAATAATTGAATCAATTCGATATTCGTTACTTTCCAGATTATTAACAATTTATAAAATATTTATAAGAGAGAGAAAGAGAGATACAAAAACTTATATAATTATAAAATTATATGAAAAACATATATATAATCGCTGTAGGAAACGGAGCATCGAGATATTTCGTACCCCTGGTGGCAACGTGTCTGGTCCTCGTATTATCCTGCACCTATACAGCCGCCTGTGATGTCGGCCTGTTTTATTAGTTGGATAATCGCAATGTCAATCGGAATAACCGCGCTGGGATGCGCGATAAATATTGATCGCTTGGAAATTTTCGTTAAAAAAACTTTAAGTAAACTTCGAAACGTTCTTGCGGTGATGAAGCCTTACATAGAATGGTTACAATATAGGTTGGTATTGCGATTGGTGTTTCGATTATCTCCTGCTTTCATTTTTGTTTCAGTAATTATGTTTGTAAATATTTTGTAAATATCAATTTGTATTTTCTTCGCCAACAAATTTTGCAGCGGCTCTTATAATTCATAACGTGTGTATGTAAATTAATTACTTCTTTTTTTGAAACTCAAATTTTATTTTACGGTATTGTGTTATCAGTTCTTTTAAATTATAAAAAACAAAATAATGATAATAATAACGATAATAATAGGAAATATATAAAATAATAGATAAATTAAAAAATTAAATTGAGAAAGATTAAATTTTTTAGTATATAAAAATAATAATAATAAATAATGCTTCGTAACCAATAAGATATTCTTTAAGTAAAATTTTCATTCCTAGAACACAACAACTACTTGTAAGTTCCGAGGCAAATGCAGCAACGGATGACAGTGAAATAAGCTCAGTTTGCGACGACGGTCGCTCAGAAACGTCAACTGATGCGAATGCGACACGAGGAGACGTACATCCGATCTCTTATGGAACGAATTGGATGCCACCGCCAAATTTTTCTATGTTCAAGGAAGCGCAGCGAAAAATATCTTTGAAATCCTTTCACACAGTAACGGGCGTGAACGACGTTCAGGTAATAATAAAAAAGAAAATTTTTCTTTTCGACCATATATTAATTTCTTTTTTCAAAGTTTGATTGATGCGTTATGGTTATTTTTATACCGGTTTTATTTCACTGCATCTATCTTGAATTTTTTTCTCTAAATAAAAATAATATAAAAATGAAGGCAGACTAATAATTACTTATTGACGTAGTTATATCATCTTTAGAGCGAAAGCTCCTTTTTTAAGAATCCCATTAAAATTTCGAAGAAATTCTTAATCCCGATAGACAGCTGATGCAATGTAATTGCGATGATGTTTATTTCTTCCAGGATTCCGACAAATTCGCGGCCAAGCAATTCCGACATCGGCGTGGGTGTCACACAGTAATACCGAGTAATTCCAGTGAGCAATCGAGTGGATGTTGAAGGGACTAGTCAGTGTTAGTCGAATCTCGTTATCGAACGCGCGCCTTCCGTTAATCGAGTAACGCTAATACGCGAAAAAATTTGCACGAAGGCGACATGTCAATTTCGTAGATGATACTTAATTTGAATAAACGTCCCGCGCGATGCTGTTTATATTTCGATAAGATTTTATAGTTCTCTATAATTTTTGTGCGTTATTTTTACACAAAATTTTCTATAAAAATATTTTTTATACAAATGATATATAATCGTGCGCGAGCGAGATTTTATTTTCGACATTATATCGCGCAAACAATATATCATCGAATGTACGCAATAGTTAAAACAATGCGTAACATTACATAAAACGAAGCCTTCTATCCAATATCAATTATATATTAATAAAATATGTATATAAACTTTTTATGAATAAATATAAATTTCTAGCATCTGATTGTGATATAAATTTTTCCATTCTTTTGCAATATTTTTTCCGTAAATTTCTAATATAATAAATTTAAAAAAATGTGCATTAATTTATTTGAAAGTTCAGTTTTTCTTCTAGTGATAATTTTATCGATTATCCAATTATCAAGTAACATAACTTTTCATTTCATTAGCAAAGTTTAGATTTCTGATAAAGAAGCAACATATGATGCATTCACCGGTGAATCTGCTCGAAATGTGTCATTTATTTCTTTGAATTTACGGTTTCAGATATCTAAAAAATTTATATGAAATTTATATATTTTATTTTTATTGACAATATTTCATATTTTTTATATATGGAAAGAGTTAAATGGTTTTCTCTTTAGTGTCTATAAAAAAAATGTACAAAGCACAATGCTATTCTGTGACGAACTAGCCTCCTTAATCTTTTTGATTATTTATTGAATAAAAGATCCTGCCACACCGCCAAATCCCAGGACTTCGCCACTTAGCTTTGCTGGCTGGCGGGGATGCGCACGAAAACGCGCATGCGTTCGGAAGGGGGTAACATTCCCCATCTTGAACCGTAGTATTATTCTGTAACCACATCTCTTGTGGGGTAGGTCGCAGATATTCTGTGACGCATCAATACTTCAAAATAAACCTCGTCTACCCTGAAAGTGCGCTTTATCAAACGGCACCTCTAACAAGTGCATCCGCGCGAGTTCGTGCTTTGATTCGAATCGGAAAATTATCTCCGGGAAGAATCCAGGAGGAGATTTAATCCGGGAGCGGACTCTCGGGCGTGAGCGATCCTCGCAACGTAGCTAACATCTCCTTCCTCGAGCGATGTAATGATTACGCGCAATACCGGATTATACAATTATCACGACGAGACAGAAAATTGACAGTCACGGCTAGTGCATCGGAATTTTTAACGCATCTTTTGGTAAGAAAACTTCGTTTGATAAAATGAATTTTTAAACAGAATTTTATAATA